CTGAAAATGCCACAGTGAACTTATACCTGATTTGCTGTGACACAGAGTATGACAGAGGGACATGAAGGAGTCCTTCAGTGTGCTTGACCTTCCCACTTGGTCCAGGGCTTGGCTACTGTCCAGTCCATGTTCTATTCAAGGTGAGTGTCCTTCAGTGTGCTTGACCTTCCCACTTGGTCCAGGGCTTGGCTACTGTCCAGTCCATGTTCTGTGGTCAAGGTGAGGATGTTTGTGATCTTTTCCGGGAAAGCCACAGATCCTTCAGGGAAGGAGCAAGGTTCCTTTTCTCTGTGCTCCACGTTCCCCCTGTACAGGGTTTTTGTGTACGGAGTCAGCTTGAGAGTAGCAGCACTCGCCCTGTTGCTGCCAGGGTTGTTTCGTGGCAGGGGTTCTGAGAGACCAACCTTCTCATCAGGCTATTTGGTCCTGTAAATTCATATATTCATTGAACCCTGGGTGTTATTAATATGGATGAATCGGGTCTCACTCAGTAATCTTGTATGAAGACTCTGCTGTATCCATTGGTGGATGAAGTCCTGTCTTAGTTAAAATATCTGACACTCACAAGTTAAAGGAGGAAAGGTTTATTTTAGCCTACAGTTGTAGAGAGTTCAGAGCATAGTCAGTTGGTTCCAAGGCAAGGCGGCCCTGCAGAGGGGCACTGTAGAGGAGAAACTGTCCATAGCAGGGCAGGCAGGAGGCAGTGAAGCTGCGGTCTGCCTTCTGCGTTTCCCTTTTATACTATCCAGGATACAGTCCTAGTAGTCGGTGCTACCCAGGCCCAGGTGTGCTAAAACAATTTAGTTATCACACATTCGTAATCCCAGGATCACATCCTTAATGCACATTCACACATTTGAGATCCAGCCACCTCTGAAAAGTGCCACCTATGTGCACACAAGGCTTTGGAGGGACATCTACAAATAAGCCATAACAGGACCCAAGTTCAAGGGTACTCACTATACATCTATCAACTTTGTGCCTAGGATTCTTCAACCTGATAATTTTTTGCAAAAGCAGTTGTTCTACTTTTAGTCACTAGGCTTGTATTGTGGGTCTTCGAAATGGTCACTGTAGCTGCAAGAGATTTCTCTCAACATTGCCCCCATAAAGAGTAAAGAAAATGTGTATTTGCTAGATCTGCTTCATGTTGTGTGAATTTCAGATATGTTTTCTCAGAAGTGACTTTATTGGAACATATTTCTTAAATAACTGAAGAGGTGGAACATTGTTTAATCTAGATGGTGTTTCTAAACCTGGGGACCTATTAAGATGATCCAGTACCTCTCGAAGACAACTTTGTGGGTTGTGCTCTAAGAAAAGGGAATTCCATCAGAAAGGGCTAGAACCTGCATTTTAAATGAGGTTGTACCCCACAGACCACTTAATGGGAATAGTATTTTTAGCCACTGAGTTACTGTCATGGGTTAACAGTGACTCTGGCCTAGGTGACATTCCCAGGTAGAAAATCTGCTCCTTGCCTGTGCTGATCTTACTACCTTGCATTAGGGCAAGTGTACAAGAAATATAAAAATAACAGAGAAATTGTCTTTCTCATGGTGTATGTTGTAAAGGTGCCAGCGGCCTCAGGCCTAGAGTGGGTGAGACTGTGGTGTCTGGAAGGGCCAGGAGGAGGGGCCTAGCAAAGGGTGAGGCAGGCATGCAGAAGCCACATGGAGGTTAAACAGGGCTGGGCTTGGCTTATCTGGCCTGGAACCCTTGTGATTGGAACCCAAGAGGAGGATAAAGGGGGCTGGGAAATCTAGGGGCAGGACTGAGTTGGATCCTCAAGGGTCTAGAGGGACCCATTGCTGAAGCTCTGTGTTTGTTTTCAACAATATACACTTTTGAGACAAAAGTCCCTAAGAATTTTCTTCCACACTGTGGAACCATACCTTGGTGGTACCATGACTTTCTCCTTACCCTTGACCCCTAATAGCTCTGGATAAAACTGCAAACAAAAGCCCCAGGAGTGTACCCAGCTGTGGCTGTGATGGTGGTGGAGCCCAACTTCTGATTACTTTTCTTTTGCTTCCTTCTTTTCCCCAGCAGCTTTTGTTGACCTTGGCTCTCTACAGCGATTAAGTTCAGCAGCCCAGTGGCCTTGGCTGCCTCTCAAAGCAGAGCCAGCCCGGCGGAGCCCAGGGACTAGAAGGCCCCCACAGGTGGCTTTTGGTCCCATTTCATGTGATTGGCAGAGCAAAGCTGTCCTAAGCTCTGCAAGCCAGGAGATTCTGAAGTGACTGGGGGGTATTTTCAAGATGCCTGTGTTATTGTTTGTGACAGCAGTTTATAAACTGGTAAGCACTGTACAAACATCAGCCACTGTTCTCTGCCGCCTTGGTGGGAACACCAGACTGGGTAGGCCTTACATGTTGCTGTGCTCACCTGTATTCAGTCCAGCACACAACTGGAGTTTCCAGATGATCCAGTCCGTGTTTGGATTGTGTCATTCTGTTCTCAGCTGTGCCCCTTTCTTGATGTCCTCAAGCCCTTGGCTCAATACTGAGTCATTTAAAGAAGCCCTGAGAGCCTTGCTGAGAAATTTTAGGATTTTGTTTTGGAGTTGCATGTTAAAGGACATATGCCTTAGTGACAGAGTAAGAGGAGGGCTGGATGGAGCCAGGGGAAGTACCAGATGGCTGCATTTTATAGTAAGTACTGGTATTTGGTACTGGTGCATTGCATACCTACCCCTGTATACTTTTTCTGACTGTGTCTCATCCATTTTACACCTTCTGCTCATCAAGTTCACCAACCTGTAGATTTACAAATTCATTTCTTCTGTGTCTGACCATAACTCATGGTTCCTTTTGATTACAGCCTCCTTTACCCAGGTGTACTTTGGACCCATGGGACCCTGTTCTATCCATACAGATTCACTTTTAGCTATTTAAACTCTTAGAAGTGTTTGCATAGCAGCATGAATTCTAGAATATAAGGTGTGGAGCTGAATATCACAGATATCTTAGTAACTTTTCTCATTGCTGGGACAAAATATCTGACACCCGAAGTTAAAGGAGGAAAAGTTTATTTTCACTCACTGTTTATAGAGTCCATATTCGGTGGGCTCCAAGGCAGGGTCGTGTGGCACAGGATAAACAGTCAATGGCATGGCAGACACAAGGCAGTAAGCAGCAGGCAGCAGGAGCAGCAGAGAGCCTCCCTTCCCCTTTCATCTAATCCAGATTATAAGCTTACTGGATGGTGCCACCCACCCCCAGGATGAGCCTTTACATTATCCACACCCACAACTGTGATAAACCAACTAGTGGAGGACTAGTTCAATACCACACACTCTTTTTTTTTTTTTTTTTTTTTTTTTTGTACCAGGGATCAAACTTGGGACCTTGTAAGGCAGGCAGCAGAACCACTGAGCTGAATCCCTGGCCCTCACACACTCTTAATTGCAGCCTCACAGCCATCTAGTCCAGTCACCTCCAAAAAGCCCCACCTATGAGCACATGAGTCTTTGGGGGGACATTTAGGTACAAGTGGTAATAACAGGATGCAAATTACAAAGCAGGTTTAGGTTGTTCTAGGATTCAACTGTACGTCAGCTTTTGAGCACAGACATTCAGATTTTCAACACTGTCCTGAACCCTTACTCCAGCAGCCTTGGCTGGGTGCTATGTTTCTCTGTTGCACCCCTGTGGGTGTCTTTGGCGAAATCAAGGTACTTTTTGGCCCCTGAATGAATGTCAGGACCAACAAGGTCCTGGTGTCTGCAGTAGCTTTATTCTGATCTTCCTCCTTGTCACTCAGGGAACGGGTCAGATTGTTCTCACTGAGGCCACGAAATCCCTCTGCCACCTATTTCTTGGTCGACTTGGTATCTAGGACTGTTCTTTCTCTGCCATCTTCAGAGAGAACAGAGGCGGATCATCCAGGAGCAGAAGCAGCTGTCCAAGAAGCTGCAAGATGAAACTGAGCAGAAGGAACAGCTAAGAAGGTCGAAGAATGAGATGGACAGCGAGCGGCGACACCTCGGCGAGACCATCGAGAAGCTGCAGCAGGAGGTGAGGGGACGGGGTGGGCTGCCCTATCAGGGCCCAGGCTGTTGGAGGTCTGGTGGAAGCCAAGGAGACCTGGATTCTGTCTTAGTGGAAAACTTCCGGGGGTTGCAGAATTCCTGAAGCAGCCCTCTGGGCTTGCCGAGAATCCCACATAGAAACTTGAAGGTAGAGGCCAGCACCCTGTGGGTCCTTGGCCCCAGAATCCCCTTGTGATAGAGGCAGAAGGCTGGTGTGGAAGCACGTGTTTACCCCACGCTCACAGAATTGGAGACCACACTGCTGGGCAGAGTCTGCTTATCCAGGAGCAGTGGAGTCAGTTTCAGAATCCCATAGCTGCTGGGCATGGTGGTGCATGCAGCTGAGGCAGGAAGATGGCAAATTCAAGACCAGCCTCTGTTCACTTGTCTCCTAGAAGCTGCCGTTTTATACCACTCTCTTTACTTTTCTTTCTTTTTGTTGTCTCTAACTAGAATTCTGTCTGTGTTATTTTTGACTGCTTTTTTTTTTTTTTTTAAACCAGGGATCGAACTTGGGTCCTTGCGCCTGCAAGGCCGGAGGTGGAACCACTGAGCTAAATCCCTGGCCCCTGTCTGTGTTATTTTAATTAGACTCTGTAAGGTAGATGTTATGCTGTTAGTATCACCCAAGAGGACAATGCCAAGGTCCAGAGAGGTTAAGGCCATGCCCAGTCAGGTACATGGCAGAGCGCGGGTCTGACCCCAGGACCATGTGCATCTTGACAGGAGGAGCTCGTTCCCTTCTCCATGCTGCGGCTGAGTCAGAGGTGGCCAAACCCGGAGGGGTCAGCCCAGGGCCTTGGAGGGGGCTGCAGGGATGGGACAGCAGCTCGCCGCCCCTGACGGAGGTCACTGGGCCGGCTCACACCCTTGTCCCCTCCAGATGGCTGACATTGTGGAAGCATCCCGCACATCGACCCTGGAGCTCCAGAACCAGCTGGACGAGTACAAGGACAAGAATCGCCGGGAGCTCTCGGAAGTGCAGAGGCAGCTGAAGGAGAAAACCGTTGAGGCAGAGAAGTCCCACCTGGCCACCACGAAACTGCAGGATGAGGTGAAATGCTTCTGTGAGGGGCTTGGGTGTAGATTCTCATGACAGCTCCTGCGCTCCATTCTCTCCTTAGCCCTCCCTGTGTAGATGGTCGGGTAGCATTGTAAGACACAGAAACCCACCAACTCTGAGGGGAAGTGGATACGACTTCAACCGGACCCTTTTCTTGACCAACCCAACATTTTCTGCCTGAAAAGTTTAGCTGCCATTTATGGGACAGGAATGAGGTACCCAGCTGTGCCCACATGATTTCTGTGCATGCTTAGTCTAACTCACTCCTACAGCCAGGATTGTAGTAACTGACTGGTGTTTTTCGACTTAGTTTTGAAAATTTCGGACTTTTATTGAGATGGGGGTGGATAAGACTTTTCAGAAGGACAGTAATAGGGGATAAAAGAAATGTTTTGTAGTTTATAGATACTGACTCTATTAAAACCTATTCCTGGTTTTATGTTTAAGAATGAAGCAAAGAAACCCAAATTTAGGTTCCCTTCATCTTGACCACTAAAAAACATAATAATAAAAGGAATGTTTTTTGATTGTCTTAATAAAAAGTGGAGGGTCATTTCTGCTTGTACCTCTCCCCAGCTGGTGACCTTGAGCAAGTTACCTCAGTTTTCTACACATCTGTTTACACCATTGTAAAAACATACAAAATATTAGTGAGTCAATAATTACTCGAGCTAACATGTCAGACTGCATAGCAGAGGGACACTCATAAATGTTGGCTTCTCTTTTTCTTTAATTGTAAAGCTTTTTGTTGCTTTTTGTTTGTTTTATTTGCTACATGCACTGCCAAGAACACTGAGATTCCGCAGGAAAACAAATTTTCTTTAAAAAAACAAATCTTTAATCTGTTTGATGATCAAAGGGACATTGCCCTTGAATCAGTACTAAACGTTAAAGAACAATGGATATTTATTACAGACATCTAGAAAGGACCCTGATAACGGATCTGCTCTGGCTGGGGTTCAGATGATACAGGACTCTTGGTGAGAACAGAAGCCAGCACATTGACTCACAGTTCTCTTCAGCATCAAAACAATTATTTTTATTTCTACAGCAAGGGGGTGGAGAGGCACAGAAACTTGCCAGAACACCAGCAAACACCTGGTCTGTTTTGACTTCAAAAGATCACAGTGTCACAGTGCCCCATGCAGAGCGCCCCCTGTTGCTTTTGTTTTTGTTTTCTGGTTTTTTGTCTTTTGAGACAGGGTCTTACTATGTAGTTGAGACTGATCTGGAACTCACTATGTAGCCCAGGCTGGTATCGGATTTGCAGCGATCCTCCTGCCTCAGCTTCCCAAGTGCTGGGATTACAGGCATGTGCCACCACGCCCGGCCCCTGTTGCTTTTTGAGTAGTAGTTTGATGACAGTCTTAGGACTGGAAGGAAATTTGGAGATGAAGAGATTCTCTCTTTAGATAATCTAGGTGCAGAGTGATTAGTTAAGACCAGATGGAGACCAGCATTGTATATCAAACAACAGATATTTTTTTTTTAAAAAAAGATTCCCTATAATAAAAACAAAGTTGGCCTTTCCTAGATTTTTCTCTGTAGCACAGCCCTGTGAGATCCTATTTCCAGATGAGAGGATGCCTTGACTCTGAAAGGAAACTATTGAGATGTAGAAGTCCTGCAGTTATTTAAAACAGAAGAGAATTAATAAGTCGCCTGTCACTCTGGGTCCTTGGAAAGCTCAAACTCATCTCTGCCCCACACCCCAAGTTAAAGTTCTTCCTTGCATAAAGCTCAGGGGTGACACAGTTTTGGAGTCATTGCTGCCTTTGCTTTGAGAGAAATGGGCATGTTACCTTTCATTCTGCCGTATGGAGCTAGAAAAGCTCTCATGAAGATCCTGTTTAGGGATTAAGACTTAGAGTTCACCATCTTTC